GGAAGCAGAGCACTAGGTCTATTTCCTACCGAGCCACTTAGTGAGTTCGAACCACCAATCTTTTAATTATCAACCCAGCACTTAATCATTGCATCACCAGGACTCCTTTGAAATGTTGTAGTATAGCTAGATTCATAGAAAATTACAAATTTAATCTAATATTGGAACAGTTGGTTTGGCCCCAAATCCCATATAATAATGACATTTTATAGCATGAGATGCCCTTTAGATTTTTTTTCCTTTTTCACTGAAAGCCTGCAAAACTTCATAAGGTGGGAATTGTTTGGTCAGAAATTTATTTCAGAAACTGACTGTATGAAATATATTAGAGTCTAGAAAGACTCTTGATAGGGTACCAATGGGAAGCTGCCACATGAGTTCCTGGACTATATATATGTGTATACACACACACACACACACATATATATGGTGGCTGGTGGCTGTGTGCCGTGGAGTCGTTTCCGACTCATAGTGACCCTGTACAGGGTTTCTGAGGCTGTAAATCTTTATGGGAGCAGAATGCCTCATCTTTCTCCTGCAGAACAGCTGGTAGTTTTAAACTGCTGACCTTGCAGTTCGCTGCCCGATTCATAACCACTACACTACCAGAGCTTATATACATATATATATATGATTAGGGTTTGGTTCAAATTTTATGTTCCCCATCCTCCATCAAAAGAGCTCTGTGGGTTAAGCATTGGACTGCTAACCTCAAGGTCACTTATTCAAACCCACCAGCTGCTCTAAGGAGAAAAGATGAGGCTCCCATAAAGATTTGCAGCCTCAGAAACACTATACAGGATTTGAAAACGGGGTTTCAGATTTACCTTGGGGTTGTGCTTGCATAGTATGCCCAGTATTTGCTACTATGGTCATAGTTGTTATATTTACTAGTCAGAGCAATTAAGTGAAGATTGAGATAAATTATGTAAGACCAAACTTAGTGCTGGCAAAAGGGGTGAAAGATCTGGCAGTGAAAATAAAATTTAAGAAGTCATTTCAATCCATTCATAGTGCAGAGAGAATGCGCAGTACTTAAAGTAACAAAGAAGGATCATAGCTGGGAGAAGGTTTACTAGGAGACAGGAGTTGAAGCTGATGTTGGAGATTGGTAGGATTAATTTAAGGGAGAACTGTGTGACTTTAGAAAAGTAGACAATCAGATTTGAGGCAGAATGGAAGAATGACAGACAAGAAGGTAGAAAAGCACACATGACAATCTAAGGAACTGAGGAGTGTCCAATCAAATTGGAGCAGAATTACAAGTGGGAAATTTTAGTAGGCTGTAGTGAAGTTCCGGAGTCCTGATGTGGCGCTGTGGGTTAATGCGCTTGACTGCATAGTCGGTTTGAACTGCAAGGTTGGTGGTTCAAGCTCACCAGCTGTTCCTTGGAAACCCTATACAGGGTTGCTATGGGTCGGAATCAACTCAACGGAACTTAACAACAACAAATACTGGAGTTGCTGAATGGTGCAAATGATTAAGCAGCACTCAGCTACTGACTAAAAGGTTGAAGGTTCAAATCCACTCAGAGGCACCTTTGAAGAAAGGTCTGGAAATCTCTGTCTGAAAATTCAGCCACTGAAAACCCTGTGGAGTACAGTTCTACTCTGACATGCATGAGGCCATCAGGAGTCAGAGTCAACATGATGACCACTGCTTTTTCTTTTTTATTGGTAGTTTCGAGAGGCAAGGTTTTGGTATTGGTTGAATCCACAATGTGCATTAATGTTGGAGTTTATACTGATGAGAACTAAAGATAAACCACTGAGGATTTTGATAATTGTTGTTGTTAAGTGCCATCAAGTCAGTTCCAACTCATAGTGACCCTGTATAGGGTTTCCAAGGAGCATCTAGTAAGCATGCAATTCAAACTGACCTTGCAGTCTAGTGCATTAACCCGAAGCGCCACACCAAGACTCCAAAGATATTGGTAATAATAAATGTGTTATAATCACAATGACTTTCAGAAAGATTAATTTGTAGAGAATATTTAGAGTGTACTTGAAGCAGGAATCTAAAGGCAGGAAATCTAGGTATGAGGCAATATAAATTTTCTGTGCTTGGAAAGGAATCCTGGTGGTGTGTATGTGCATTAGGTGTTGGGCTGCTAAGCACAAGGCCTGCTGTTCAACCCCACCCCCTGCCTCATGAGAGAAAGATGAGGTTGTCTACTGTGGTAAAGATTTACAGTGGCAGTGGGTGGTAGGGTACAGAAGACTCGCTCAAGAAGGATATCTGCTTCTCCCTAGTCAAGGAGAATCAAGCCACCCAAGTTCACACATACACAGTAATACTGTCAGAATCTGAACCCAAGACATTCACTTTCTACAGTTTACGCTTTTCCAACACTAATTTGAGATCAAAGTTCATAAAAATGAAAATGGGAGAAATTTGGTGATTGCAAGGTTTAAGACAAAATGTAAAAGAACACTTTCTTTCTTTCTTTCCTTCTTTTCCTTCCTTCCCTCCCTCCCTCCCTTTCTTTCCTACTCTAACATGCTACTTCCCTAAGCCTTTGATACCTTTTTCTATAGTATACCAAGGCAGGTCTGACATTTCAACTTGCTTTATTTTATTTTATTTTTTAGGGAACCAGAGATATCCTTTTTTTTCTGTTTTTTTTTTTTTTTTTTTTTTTTTTTTTTTTTTTTTTTTGTAACCTTTTATTGTGACTTGAATGAAGGTTAACGACCGATGACATCATCAGCAAAGCATTCAACAAATCATGTGCTTTGGGTTTCTTCACAATGATTATAATCCCCTTCCAACAACAACATTTGTTCTCTTCCTCCCTAGGCCTTTTTATTTTTTCATCTTATACTTCACAAATGAACAAAGCAAAAATATTTGATGTACACATACAAAACAAAAACTATAAATTCATTTAAATGTCCTAAGGGCATAATCAGCAAGCCAGCCTCCTGCCCACAGGCACACAGCCTTACTCAGTCCATGGGCCTAGAACCCACATCTGCTCTATTTCTAAGGGGGCATTTCATAGTAGCCTTTTGAAGCCTCCTTCAAAAAGTTTGTGAAAAATTCAATGAAAAGATAATGATATCATGACTAATTGCAGCTGTCATAATTGTAAAGGTAGAAGTTTTATAACAAAAACGGGGAGAAGTTAATTTTACAGTCCAGAAACAGAGGACCCTAGGACCATCAAGGGAGAAGAGCATGAGGAATGCTGGACCCTATCCAGAGAAGGAGCGACACCAGAGATGGAGGCAGAGATGGGAAGAACATGAAGAGACATGGCAGCTGAGGACTCCACACTCATGGAAAGAGAAAGGCTGTGTGTTGGTAGTCAGGAAGCAGGTTTTCAGAATGTGCTCTTTGGTTGTTTAAATTATTATATATTCCTGAGTGTTTTTGTGTACATACCCACCCCCACCCACCCCCCAAAAAAGAGGAAATAAAAGCAAACACTATTGAATAGTGAGATTGGCCCAGGATTGAGCAGTGTTTCATTTTCCTGTGCATAAGGTCGCTATGACTCGGTACCACCTTGATGGCACCTAACAGTAACAACAATTGAATGATGATGCACGGAGGAGATTATAACCAACGCAATGAAACGATGGTGTAAAACTGATGTTCTCCCATGTAAACTATCACTCAATTCATAATAAAAACTTAAAAAAAAAAAACATAATGGGAACAAAATTCAAAATTATTTAAAAAAATAAAAATTGGGTTTACTTGTCAGAAAGAGACTGGAGTAACCTGAAACTATGACTTTCAACCACCCTTCAGGTCTGGAAATGAACTTGTCCTCTTGGTCCAAGTTTCAGCCAAGCAGTTGATGGGTTTACGGAGGGTGGGAGGAGACAACACTGGCAAGGTATGCTCACCATAGAATGGTCAATTATTCAGAATCAAAGGACAACATTTCCTTAAGGACAAAATTGAGAAGGGATGGAAATAGGAATCACAGGGAGGAAGCAGGAAAACTGTTGTTGCCTTGGAAGGGATTGTAATCATTAAGCTAAAACTAAGTGTGTAATTTGTTGAATATAGAGTCTGTAAACCTTCACTGAATTTACAATAAAAGGTTGGAAAAAACACAAGAAGAATGGAATTTTTCCATAAACTTTTTGAAGCCCTTCATATTTGTGGTGGTGGTTGTGTACCACTGAGTTGGTTCCATTTCATAGCTGCTTTGTATAGGACTTCCAAGGCTGTAAATCTTTATGGGAACAGAAAGTATAATTTTTCTCCTGCAGAGAGACTGGTAGATTTGAACTACTGACCTTGTGGTTAGCAACCCAGCACATAATCCATTATGCTATCAGGGCTCCTTCCTCCTATATGTAGAAGTCCATTTTCAGAGAATTACATAAAATTTGATAGCAATGAAATAATGGCTTCTGCAGCTTTGTAGTGATGGCATAGCAGATTAAACCAGTTACTTGCTATGCAAAAATTTCATCACCTTTCTAACTATCTAAAAAGTGTGTGTCTAATCCAAGTTTTGCCCTCGGATTCACCACTTTTCTGCTTAATTAGCTGCTTGTGTTTTTTCTGTGGGTTCTTTCATGTTACTCATAATCCCAAGGCTGCATATTTGAAGCCAGCTATCAGCTCGAGGCATATGTGTTTCTTCTCTCTCTTGTCTAGGATCAAATTTGTTATTCATAATGGATTTTTGTTGATTTGGGGAAAGGCAGAAGATGACCATTGAGTTGACATCTTCTCATTTGCAAAATAAAAGCATTGGGCTTCATTCCAAGCAAACCTGATAAAAATGAACAGCAGCAATAAACTTTGTTTTGCTATTTGAAAATCTTTTAGTTCATAAATGCTACTTGTTTAGTGCCTTAAAGTTTTGGCTAGCCTTTTGACAGAATTCACCAGTTGTTTTGTGGGATTTTTGGGGTTTTTTTTAGCTTTAGAAATGTGTTTTTTGTTTTGTTTGTTTTTCCCTTTTCAGACATGTATAGCATAAGGGAAAAAACCATTTCATCTGTGTGTTTTGTGTTTTATCCTGACTTAGGGTATCATTGCAGAATATAACAAAATCAATGATGTAAAAGAAGACGATGATACTGAGAAATTTAAGGAAGCCATCGTGAAATTCCATAGGCTGTTTGGGATGCCTGAGGAAGAGAAGCTCGTCAACTATTACTCTTGCAGCTACTGGAAGGGAAAAGTCCCCCGACAGGGCTGGATGTACCTCAGTATTAACCACCTTTGTTTTTATTCTTTCCTTATGGGAAGAGAAGGTAAGTTGTCTGGAGAGAAATTTTGGAAAGGCTACTGAACATTTCCTGGGCACATAAACCACATCAAAATAGCAAAACAAAACTTATAGTTACAAATGGGTTGGTGCCATTTTGTGTTCATTATTTAACAAGTGAATTGAATTATCATCAGTTCAATGTATTTTGTAAAAATTAGGCATTAACCAAGCTTACTTGTCAGAAAGAAACTGGAGGAACCTGAGAAGATGGCCCATTACCACCCTTCAGGTCTGGGAAAGAACTCATCCTCATTGTCCAGCTTTAAGCCAAACAGTATATAGGTATATAGGGGAGAGAACAGCACTGGTTAGGCATGCTCACCATGGAATGTCAATCATGCAAAATCCAGAGGGCAACGTTTACCTAAGGACACAGTTGAGAAGTCATAATAAGAGGGTAGAATGGAAGTAGGAGCCACAGGGAGGAAGCAGGGTAAATGCTGTTACATGGAGGACTTTGCAATCATTGAGATGAAACAAAGTGTATTGTTTGTTGAATGTAAAGTGTATTACTTTTTGAATGTAAAACTGTAAATCATCACTCAGTTCACACAAAAAGTTAAAAAAAAAAAAAGTCATTAAGTAATAAATATACACCAAGGTAGATTTAATTGAGTCGATGTGAACTCAAGTTCATATTGTTTATGAACTCACAAATTAGGTGGTTCCAGTTTGTCTCTTCAAACTAACAAACACAACAACAACAAATACTCACAAACTCAAAAGGCCCCAGAGGGATTGGGGTGTGAGATATGACAGGGAAAGGATTACTACGAGTCAGACATTGACCAAGCCTTGTTCTCTGTGTTCAGCCAAGCTGGTAATCCGGTGGGTGGACATCACTCAGCTTGAGAAGAATGCCACACTGCTTCTGCCTGATGTGATCAAAGTGAGCACTAGATCCAGTGAACATTTCTTCTCTGTGTTCCTCAACATCAACGAGACCTTCAAGTTAATGGAGCAGCTCGCCAACATTGCCATGAGGCAACTCTTAGACAATGAGGGGTTTGAACAAGATAAATCCCTGCCCAAACTGAAAAAGAAGTCTCCTAAAAAGGTGTCTGCTCTGAAACGGTAAGTGTTGGAGATGGTGAGTCTTGTAGACTTTAGAAATAAGGAACCCTCCCATTCATGTATTCAATTTAACCTTTTCAGAACAGCTGCAAGTGCTCTGGACACTCTTCTGGATATAGGTGCAAAACTGAAAAAGACTGCTTAAAGGCACTCAGAGTTCTGCAAGTGAGACATAAACAGTATAGTGTAGTAGAAGCTCTGAAGTCCTAAGAATGGAGTGTATAGGAGCACACAGGAGCAGTGGTTAGCTCTGACCAGAAGGGACACAGTGGGTAAGAAAGACTCTTTGGGCGAATGCTTTGAGCTGAACTTTAAAGAGTTGGGAAGAAGTTAGAAGTGCAGATACAATGGGGTGAACGTGAAAGCACAAAGGAAAAGCATAAATGGAGGCAAGTCCCTCACGTTGTTGGACAATGGCAGGACATGGGATAAGAAGATCCCACAGAGGAGCCTGGAAGTTGGGATGTGCCAGTAGAGCTAGAGAGAGAGGGTGAGGGGAAAGTTGATGATCTCTAAACTTTCTAGCTAGAGTGACAGTATGAACGAGATTGCCATTAACTAACTGAGCAAGATGGGAATTGAGAGAAGGAAAAGAGCATGTATGTCCACGTTATATATTGCAATGCGGTATTGATCATGTTGAGGTGAGTTGCTTGCAAGATATGTAGTTGGAAATTAGTCAAGTAGGATTTTTGAGATTTTTAAATCATTGGTGTTTCGTTAGTAGTTGAAATCTGAAAAGAAGTTACTGTAATGAAAGAATCTTTGGTGAATTGAGACACGATTCAATAGAGTGATGGAGGGTAGAAGCTGCCTGCCGTTGGATTAAATAGTAAATGAAAGGTGAGGCAAGGGTATTAGGCAAGTATAGACTGCTTTTTCAAGAAATTTGATGGTAAAAGAAGTGTGTTGCTGGTTTTAGAATGGAAAAGATTTGAATATAGACTGGAATGAGAGAAGCCGATGAGGGTAGATACGTAGGTCAGGAAGGAGGAAAGAGTATGACATTACTAGGAAACCAGTAATATTCAAAGTGATGTCTTGTTGGGCATGGAAAAGGATACTTATGTATCCTGAATCCTCTCTCTTTTTAATTAGTAAGAGTAACTGAGGATGGAATTAATTATGGAGATTCAGGTTAGTGGGAGTTCCTTTCTGCTCTAGGCTGAGATAGGGAAGACTTTTCCAGGAAGAAGTTTAAACTACTCATATGATGAACAGGAAAAGCAACTCATGAGGGAAAAGACTTGTCAATAGAAGACCAAGCTGAGGTTGAAAACCATAACTGTCCAAGAAGTGGACTGTTCATATTATATTTTTCCATATGAAGATTTGCTGAATATTTAGGGAGGACAAGATGTTACAGATTCATGTAGCTTATTTGAATTCTCATTAGGTCTTTCTTTATATATATAGATTTAAGCAGGTTACAATTACAGTGCTTCCGTTTGTGGGAATACTGACATTATCTTGCTGAAAGAAATGCTGTGTTGATGACCATCTTTGGTTTTTGCCTTTATGAATCATGACAGATTAACAATGCATATTTCTGAGATGACGTTAGCTTTGCAAATCAAATCACTATTGCTTTGGGACTGGAATCATGGGGGTGTTGATCTATGTAAGAATTGTTTCGAAATCTTTGCGCATCATGACATTTTGATGTAGTTTAGAAAGGAAAAGGATTTAGAGGGTGTGTGTGTGAATATACTGTGGGTCTACTGAATCCAAGCTGAGTCCATGCACTGGGAAGGAAGAGCTTCCCTACCACTCAAGCCCCAATTACAATCCAGTGTGTGTGTTTTCCTACCTTTGGCTCTTTTTGAGAAGTACAACTTCCAAGAGAAGAGAGTGAAGAAGAGCCTACCTGGGTCTATAAGGAGTCACACATGTGTTAGCACACATAATTTACCTAGGTTCTAGCATTCTGCCATATGAAGTTAAATTTACCCAGCTTTGATCAATTGATTGCAAAACTTCTGGTTTCTTCCTCTGTCCTTATGCTTCTGCATGAAAACGCTGACTAATAAATATGAGACCTTTGCTGTGGTAGTAAAAACATTTTTTTGCTGCTGTTGTTGAGAACATACACCAATTTGCCAAGTTCTGAGGGTTCAAGTCTTTGATTGCATTTTCCGAGTTGTGCAACCATATTCTCACCCCTTCTTTTCCGAATTGTGCCTCCACCATTCATAAAAAACTCACTGCCCTGTAAGTTCCTTATCTTTTTTAGACGTTTTCTTAAAAGATCTGGCTCAAAAGATAGCTCTGGTAAATGTACATGTAATAATCCTGTAGAAATTGTTGTTTTCCTATAGGAAGATAATGAGTTTTCCTGTATGGGCCCAATGTTTCATAGATATGGACTATAACTTGGAGTCCTGGTGTGGATAAGCAGTTGACTGCAAGACCAGTTTGAACCACAAGGTTGGCAGTTCAAACTCACCAGCTGCTCCTCAGAAACCCTATACAGGGTCACTATGAGTCAGAATTGACTTGATGGCACTTAAGTTAAACTTAACAACAACAACAAAACAGCCAACTTCTTTGCCATTGAGTTGATTTTGACTCATGGGAAGGCGATGTGCTGGAGACTAGAACTGCACTCTGTAAAGACTATCCTTGACCACAGTCTTTACAGAAGCAAATTGTTAGGCCTTTCTTCCACAGTGCCACTGGGTGGCTTCAAACCATCAGTCTTTTGGTTTGTGCCACCCAGGGACCTAAAATGACTACACAGGGACCTAAATGCATTTAAAATAATTTTGCTATGCTTTCAGGTTGTTAGTTGGCGTTAACTCCGTTATAAAGTAAAGAAGGTAGGGATAAGTCTGGCAAGATCCAGAAGGGGAAGCCACATCTAGGGAACCTCCATAGCTATATCAATTAGAAGGTATTATAACATTTTTTTTTTCCTTCATGAAGTAAGTTATTATTATTGCTTTCCAGTGATCTTGATGCCCGGGCAAAGAGTGAGAGATATCGTGCACTTTTCCGGCTGCCAAAAGACGAAAAATTAGATGGCCACACAGACTGTACCCTCTGGACCCCATTTAACAAAATGCACATTTTGGGCCAGATGTTTGTGTCCACAAATTACATCTGTTTTACCAGCAAAGAGGAGAATTTGTGTAGCCTCATTATCCCACTCCGGGAGGTAAGTGTCAGCTAAAATGGGTATTTAAAGAGTTTCATTTATGATATTTGTCTTTGTTTACCAGGAATCTTTTTACCAGCAGTTGATTGGTGTTTTTTTGTTAAAGTCATAGAAAATATATTTATACTTTTCATTCCATCATTTAATCTTTTATTTTTTAAGTTTTTATTGTGAATTAAGTGATAGTTTACACAGGAGAGAAAGATGATAGTTTATACTCATCTTTTCTTTGCAATGATTACAATCTCCTCCGTGCATCATCATTCAACAGATTTGCTTCTATTCCCCCTGTTTTGTTTGGGGGGGATGTATACAAAAACACTCTGGAATATATATAATCATTTAAACAACCAAAGGACACATTCTGCAAGCCTGCCTCCTGGCCACCAGCACACAGCCTTTCTCTTTCCATGAGTCTAGAGTCCTCAGCTGCCCTCTCTCTCCATGTCCTCATCTCTGCCTTCATCTCTGGTGTTGCTGCTTCTCTGGATAGGGTTCCACATTTTGCTTGTGCTTTTCTCGCTTGATGGTCATAGGGTCCTCTGTTCCTGGATGGCAAGACTAACTACTCCCCACTTTTTGTTACAAAACTTATACTTTTATAATGTGACACAATTAATCATGATAACAGTTTCTCACTATTAATTGTAAGAATCTTATCCCCATCTCCTTTCACCAGACCCATCTAGACAAATTCAATAGGGTCTCTACTTTTCCTCACACACTCTGAAACTAAACTACCTCTTGAAAACTTGTAAGCCAGCCACTTCAGGTCTTTATGGCGCACCCCCCCCACTCCATTTTAGGCCACCAATGTCTAAGTTGCCTGTCCCTATCTACCCTGTATACACAGAGGGAGTAGGATAGATCCTTAATGTGACGACTCCTTCCCTCTCAGTTGGTATTTTGAGCTACTGCATCCACAAGTATAGGTCAATTCAAGTAAGTTGACTTTTAACCATTCATTTTCTTTAGTGGGACCTGTAACCCTTTCATGTGTTGTCACTTCTTTAAGAGACTATGAGATCTGTGAAACCTCTTCTTCCAGAAGCGGCCTGGTCTACAAGAGGGCAGCTTGGTGACACAGGCTAGAAGTCAGAAAGCCAAGTATTTGCTTCCATCTGTTCTGAGCCCTTTCCCAGATCTGAATCTGAGTCTCTATAAAAAACTTTAAAATCTGTATGCATTGCATAGTAAGGAGTCCTGGTCTGGTGCTGTCAGATAAGCACTGAACTGCAAGGTCAGTTTCAGCCACAGAGTTGGTGGTTCATACCCACCAGACGCTCCTCAGAAACCCTATTCAGGATACTATACTTGGTCACTGTGAGTTGGAATCAACTGGGCAGCACCTAACAACAACAACATGCATAGAAAAGCCTAAGAAGGTTCTTTTTTTCTTTACTTTGTATTGTGAATTGAGTGAAAGTTTACAGAACAAATCATCAGTCCCACTTTCAACAATTATAAAGATTGCAATCCACCTCATGTACTATCAGTTAACGGTATTTTCCTCTATGCACTTTATTTATTTTTCCTCCCCTCCAACCCACACCTACCCTGTAGCAATCATAGAATTGTTCACTTAACAAGAAAATCTTCCTTGACTGCTTACAACAGTGGTCTCATGCAATATGTGTCCTCTTGTGGTTGAATAATTTCACTCAGCGTAATGACGTCCAGGTTCTTCCATGTTATGAGGTGTTTTGGAGATTTGTCATTGTTCTTCACCACTGCGTAGCCTTCCATCGTGTGTATGTACCACAGTTTGTTTAGTCATTCTCCTAATGAGCGGCTCTTACACTGACTCCATCATTTCACTATTGTGAACAGTACTGCAGTAAACATGGGTGTGCATATATCTAGTCGTGTCACAGTTCTTGTTTTTTGAAGATCTATAAGAAACATTATTTTTATATTTGGGATGGAGGTGGGTTCGATCACATCTTTGTGGTCATCAGTCACTGTGGCGCTTATTTGAAATCCTTGCTGTGAGGCTTTGGTTGAGAAAGATCTCGAGGTTAGGATGAGGAGAAAGGGCAGTACAGGAGCTGAGCGCTTTACAAAATTTCTAAGCTGCAGCTTCCATCCTAATGTCCCTTTTCTAGAGGTTAGTTAGTTAGAAACTCTGGTCATTCAATCAGAGTCACTATACTAAAGGATTCAAGTTTTCCTTTCCCCTCTTTTCATTCTTTTTAAAGGATTTCTTTTTGCAGGCAGATTTTCTTCTTTGCTTTCTTCTTGTTTAAAGTAATGCATCAAATCATTATAGAAAATTTGTACAAGTACAGACAAATAAAAATAATGTGTTTTTTAATGGCTACCTATTGAGTGTTGTGGTTCCATACGATAAACACTGGGCTTTGAAACACACAGTTTGCAGTTCAAGCCCACCAGTGAGAAAAATGAGACTTTCTTCTCCAGCAAAGATTATAAGCTTCAGAAACTCTATACAGAGTCGAAACTGACTCAGTGGCACTTAACAACCCCAGTTCCATCGCTCAAAGATAACCACTATTAGCATTGCATTGCTGTTTTCCCATTTATTCCTATACATTGCTGTGCAAATGCCATTATATATAATTCACAAAAATAATGTCATTAATAGGAACTTTAATTATCTACTTATTTCCCTTACCAATAAGTATTCCTTAACATTTCCCACATCATTATTCTTCTGTATGTAGTTTTTAGTGACTGTCTATTATTTCATTAGGAGTGTGCTGGCTCCATAGGATAATCACTGGACTTGGAACCACAAAGTTGGTGGTTCAAAACAACCAGCTGCTCCATGGGAAACAGATGAGGCTTTCTACTCCTGCAAAGATTTACAAGTCTCAGAAACCCTGTGCAGGGTTATTATCAGTCAAAACTAACTCAATAACAGTTAATAACAACATTATTCCATTCAGTGGATATATACACAGATTATTCAGTTACCATAGTTGGGCCTTTTCATTGTTTCCAGTTTTTCCCCCAATCATATGTGTCCTTTCACTTAAGTTATAAATTCCTAGAAGTTGAATTGGTAGGTCAAATACAATGCAAAATGTTAAGCAATTGGCAAATCTAGTTCTCCATAAGGGTGAGCTATCTGGTGATAGATGCACTTACATGAGTCCTGAGATGCAAAATCCAACCTTACTTATATTGGGCTCTGAAGTTTTTTTCACGACTTTTTCCAGCAAATTTACCATTTTGTTGTTGTTGTTAAAAGTATCACTGATTCACTTCCAACTCATAGGATCCTATGGCCCACAGTCTAGTGCTGATCCTACAGTGCCACACCGTTTAGAGTCTTTGCTATAGGCTGCTGCTAAACTTACCTTTCTTTCTTCTTAAAGTATTTTCTGAATGTAATAAAGCAAATTTACCTGAAAGGTATGTGATGCCTGGGGAAACCCATTTTGAGACAAAGAATATAGCATGGCTGTGCCATTTATGAGTCGCAGCGAGTCATCCATCTCCCTTTATTCAGAGGGAAATGGGGAGCAGAGACGGTCTGGAAGCAGCTGTCAAGGCATCTGCTCCCCTTCTGTTCACTAAGTCGGGGTCTTGGGTCAAGTTAGCTCTGTTTACATTTTAATGCAATTTAGAATACAAGGGTGAGAGCATCAGGGAATTGAGAGAAAGATGATTGATATGCTCACCCTATCTCACACAGGAGCCTTCTGCTCTCTGGTTTTCCCTAATCGGTCATAGGGCAGAGATAATTCTGTTAGATTCCAGGGTAAATCAGAAGAGGGACCATATGGGGAGGTAGCATTTAAAGATTAAGTATGTGGTGGTTGAAAGATACAGCTGTAAAGTCATCAAGGCGACAGCAGCGCCCTTCTCTCTAACCTAATGAATCATTGAGGTTTGTTAATGGTAAATCCCTAACCCTGACTAATGGAAGAAGCAGAGCACTTAATGTAATTTTTATTACCTTTAGGCAATGATAATGTTAGAAAAACAGTGGCGTGAGGCCCCAACACTCGTCCAGGGTCTGAGTTGAGAGGGTCTCTCTGTGACCTGCGTACCTTTGTGAACTAAGTTAAACTGATCAATGAGCAGGAACCTTCGTGGGAAACTTGCATCCTACCCGAGATAACCACTTTCAGGAGTATAGAGACCAGAAATCAGTGCTTTTTTGGAACTATTTTTATAAAAGTTGAAATACAAAAAGGGATTGCAAATTTATGTAGACTTAAAATTAAAGATAAGGAGCCCTGGCAGGTAGTATAGTGGGTTACGAGCTGGGTTGCTAACCACAAAGTCAGCAGTTTGAGAAAGATGAGGCTTTCTGCTCCTGTAAAGATTGATCGCCTTGGAAACCCTATACAGGGTCGCTATGAGCCAGAGCCAACTTCACAGCACACCAATACCACTACCAGCACTTAAATAGATGATGTTGTTGTCAAGTACCATCGAGTTGGTCTCAACTCATAGAATAGGGTTTCAGAGGTGAATTTTAACCACCAACCTTGCGGTTCAAACTGACCTTGCAGTCCCAGTGCATTATCCCACAGCACCATAAATAGCTGCCATCAAATCAACTCTAACTCTTTTTTATCTTCTAAAGTCTATTTGTTTTGTTACGGTTGTTAATATACACCCGAGAAACATACACCAATTCAACAGTTTCTGCAATTTATTATATTCTTGGAGTTGTGGCAACTCTGACACTTGACTGCCTGATGTACATCAGAGTGAAACCCTGCCTAGTCCTGCATCATCTTCATGCTTACTGGCATATTTGGTTCCAATATTGCAGCTAATGTGCCAATCCATCTCACCAAGGGTGCTCCTTACCTGCACTTTGTATTCCCCTCTAGTGACTGATCCCCTCCTGATGACATGTCTAAAGTGAGCAAGTTAGACAGTGTTCTATTGTAATCCGTAAGGTTTTCATTTGTTAAATTTTGGGAAACAGATCACCAGACCTTTCTTCCTAATCTCTCTTAGTCTGAAAGCTTTGCTGCAACCTGTCCACCATGGATGACCCTACTGGTATAGTTTTCAACACCATAGCAACATGCAAGCCACCACAATATAGCACGTAGACATAAGGTAGACCAAATTAACGTCTGTGAAATGTTTACACAGCTTGTAGCATGTTGCTACAGGTTTTAAAGAAATTTTTGAGTCATCAAAACAAGAGGATAAAGTGATCTAATTAGGTTCTTCATTGCATATGAAATTCCCCAATGAAGTTTCTTTTTTTCAATCATTAACTTCATCTTGTATATGTCTAAAAGGGTGAGTATATTAAACATCAAAATTTTATTAAATTCCTATGGGATTCCTTTGAGAAATATGTAGCTGTGAATATATAGGGAGATAAAGATTTTTATAAAAATAAATAAAATTTCAAACAAGTAGCCAGGCCCCACAGTTTTCTCACCCTTCTGGGCCCCAGCCTAACCCATGTTGTCACTTGAGGGCATTCAGTGTTTTATGCAACTTCAATCGATTGGTTAGCCTTCGTAGATTGTGGGACGAAAGTTTTGAAGTCCTACTTTGGAGAAAATGTATTTCTGCTGAAAATAACAATAAACAGATTAAGTTCTAGCGTGCTTGCAGATGAAAATGAGGCAGAGTTATAAACCTGAGCTTAAGCATCTAGTCAGAGCTGCTATAAATAAATCATTTATCTAGGGGCTGCCTCGAGGGTTTTTTGTTTGTTTGTTTTTCTGTAGTGTGCTGAAACAAATAGTTTTAATGCATTTATCTTACCTCCCAGTTCATGAAAATCCCTTTATAAACTACCAAATATATTGTCACGTCAGAGCTGAAACAGACATCTCTGTTGGGATAAAAAAAAAAAATGTTTTATCCCAACATTATATGCTTATTTAAAACACACACAAGGTTCAGAGAGGGCAGCAATTAATTTGTTTCCACCATGTCTGTTCAGGAGTCTAGCCTTAAAAATTTGAAAGTGGTAGGAGGTGAAGGATGCAAAGCTCCGGAATCTAAATGAGACATTGGGAGAATTGGTAGTGTTTGGGGAAAGCTTTCAGCAGTAGTCATGGTAAAAGGAACCAGTTATCATGGGCTGTTTTCTCTCACTTTTGGATGATGTGTAGAATTTCATAGAGTTCCATGACATTTTAATGAAAAGCAAAGGATTGCTCAACCTTGGACATTGTGAGCTTTGTTACTGTTTGGACTAATTGTGGGGAGCAGCCTATGCACTGCAGATGGTTAGCAGCATCTTTGGCCCTTATCTACTTGAAATCGGCAGCACTCCTTCATTATGAGAACCCAGCTGTCTCTTGAGAGCAAAATTCACTCTCAGTTTAGAACCTGCAAGATGATTCCAGCATCTGACATAAGCTCCAATTTGATTTGTTATATATCATTTTATCTTATTGGATCATGGGCAGTGAATTTCAGTTTGGCCCAATGAAATATGGATTGTTCTCACAGAACGCAAAAGTCCTTTTGTGCTGCTCATTGACTGCCATGGGATAATTCCTGGAAAGTGATGTTCTTTCTTTCTTGTTTCTTTTCAGGTGACAATTGTGGAAAAGGCAGATAGCTCCAGTGTACTTCCCAGCCCCTTATCCATCAGCACAAGGAACAGGATGACCTTCCTCTTTGCAAACTTAAAAGACAGAGACTTTTTAGTGCAGAGAATCTCTGATTTTCTGCAACAGACGACGTCCAAAATATATTCGGACAAAGAGTTTGCTGGAAGCTACAACAGTTCAGATGACGAGGTCTGTGGAATAGTTCATCGGCCAGGGATTGTAACCCTGAGGGTGTTTCTGGTCTGTCCTGTTATGCTGCCAAGAGTGTTCACTTCCTTGTGCTTTTTCTGTGGTTTTCTAGCTTTGCAACTGTGCTAAGATAAACCACATACTGTGATGTCACCAGCAATATCTCAGCATTCATGTATTTCATAGTTTGTATAGGATCATAGAGCAGGGAGGGCCCTTATAGATCATCTAGCCTAATCCTCTTAATGTAATTTGTCCTGATTACAGAGCAACAGAATTTGCTCCATATATAAGGACCTCGCGTGTTGCTACAAAAATCATAGAAAACTTTATTCAACAAAAATATCAAAATATGAAGCTATTTTTTTTTAATCAAAATAGCCTTCATCTAGGTCCATACACTTCTGAAGGCAATGTTTCCATCTCTTTAACTTTTCCTTGAAGAATCTGAGCTCTTTAATTTATACCACATCACAACAGTGATTGGGACATCCTTGAAGGACTCAAATCATGTTTCTTTTCAATGTTCTTTGAGTTTGAGGAACGGAAAGAAATCTGAAGGGGCAAGATCAGGCCTGTAGGTTGGATGAGGTAAAGTTTCCCAGGGAAATTCTCATCAGATAATCCTTGCTACCCTCAAAGAATGAGCAGGTATATTGTTGTGATGGGAAACAAATTATTTGGCATAACTTTCCAGGTCTTTTCCTCATCAATTTAGTTTTCCATTTTCTTAAAACTTTTTCATAAATAAGCCCCTGTGATTACATAATGTCCTCTGAGAAATCTATCAAGAATACTTCTTTGTTATCCCTAAAAGCAGTTTCCATAAACTTCTGAGCTGACTTTGAGTTTAATTGCCCAGCAGATCCCTTTGGAAGCTACTGTTCTGATTGGACCTTGCTCTCTGGATCATATCGGTAAATCTGAGACTCATCCTCAGTTACAATTCGTTCTATAAAATCACCTTCATTAGGTTTGCTCTTGCTTAAAAGATTGATAGGAAAGTTCACCTCCTTGAGCTAGCTGATCTTCATACAACACACTTTTTTCTGTATGCTTTTTTTTTTTCTTTTTTTTTTTTTTTAATGAAAGAACCTTAATGAGACTAAGACAAGTGTATTACTGAGGGAATTTGCCTGCAGAGACAAATTTCAACATGTTTCACTTGGAATAAAACCATGAATATATGTACTGGAAATATTGTAGCAATATTTTTAAATGTACCCTCTTATTGAAGTTGTTGGGAACAGTGTTGTTGTTAAGTGCCGTGGAGTTGGTTTCATCTCATAGCGACACAGTATAGGGTTTCTGAGGCTTTAAATCTTTTTGCAGGAGCAGAAAGCCTCATCTTAGAGGTTTCACCAAACCAGAAATACATAATTAACACAATAGAACACATGTTGTGTTGCTGTTGTATGAGGCCCTGAATGAACATCTTCATTTCAGAGATGAAGCACCTAGGGATCTGAGATGATAGATAACTAGCTAAGCAGATAGGACTCCAAGCTCATGAGAGCATTTTTGAGGCACTAGAAACTAGCGAGGAAGTAAGGAAGATGTCTCTTGATTCAGTCACTGCAGGCTTTGCATCCATGTAAATAGGAGAGACAAATGCCCAACTACCGTGTTGCAAAAATACTTGTAAACTACTGTTTTGAGCATAGAAGCACTGCTTTTATGTGCCATGCCCAGGTCTAACTCAGAGGAAGTCCCTGTGTGCAGTGAAGATCTGCACTCCATAGAGTTTTCAGTGCTGTTGCTTTTTGGAAGCAGACCACCAATATACCTCTTGGAAATGGACTTGAATTGCTTGCCTGTTGATTAGTAGACCCAGGAACTCATGCCCAGGTCTAATCTCAATCAGAATGTTGGCTTGCTGCATTTCTGTTTTTCAGATAGCAAGAAATATGTTGGAAAATAGGATGTAGTCATTGGTCTCTGCAGAGAGGGTGCTGAAGAAGTCAACTGTGTGGTTCAGACCCTTCTGATGAGTGTCCCTTGTTCTTCTCTGTATGGACAGGTGTATTCTCGGCCCAGCAGCCTTGTTTCCTCCAGTCCCCAGAGAAGCACAAGCTCAGACACAGATGGAGAGCGTCAGTTCAACCTGAATGGCAACAGTGTTCCAACAGCTACGCAGACCCTGATGACCATGTATCGGCGGCGTTCACCCGAGGAATTCAACCCTAAACTGGTGAGTGCTTCCAACACCTCCCAGAAATATTCTGTATTAGAATGATGATATTCTAGAAATTAAGCAAGTAGAATCATGTAAATGTCTCTGTAGAGATCTTCCTTTAAGTAAAGCAGACTTTGTTGATATAAGTCATTAGGCTTCATGGTGGCTATGTGGGAAGAGAGAAGATGTTAGAGTGAGATGAAGATTATTTTTTGTCTGGTTTTATTTGAATTATTACTTAACTATGAAATAAGTGTACAATTTCTGAACGTACATTTTAAAAAGATGAACTTATTTTGATTCTGGAGGTATTGACATGATGGATAGAACTCCAAGATAACATGAGCATTTTTGAGGACTTGCTAACCTGATTTCTGACACAGGGTCAAATAGCTTTAATGGCGAAGCCACCAACTGTAATAGTTGTGGAAATGTGGGCAAGAACTCCAGGATATCTGAGTTATTTATCCTCTCTCTGTCTCCTTCTGAAATTTTTACTCTTTTGTTTGCTTTTGCCTAACAATGCATTTTCCCTTAAAGGCATCCTAGCAGAAAAATATCTCCGTTCATGAGAGTAAAATGAATTCTGTTTAGAATGTGACCACTCCATCCCATAGGGAAACCGTCCCAGACTACCATCACATTTATCTGTGCCAACCTCAGAGTACCTTAGGATGTAGTAATGTTTTGTCATCCTTTTCAGGCCAAAGAGTTTTTGAAAGAGCAAGCCTGGAAGATTCACTTTGCTGAGTATGGGCAAGGGATCTGCATGTATCGCACAGAAAAATCTCGGGAGCTGGTGTTGAAGGGCATCCCAGAAAGTATGCGAGGGGAGCTCTGGCTGCTGCTTTCAGGTATGGCCCATAGGAAGTAGGAGCACCGCTCCCCTTCAACCTTCCATCATGCATCCAGAGGCTCCTTTCAGATACTCACGTCTCCAACCCAAGGATAAGTCTTGTTTGCTTAGTCAGAATGTTGAAGTCTCCTCCCTTAGTAAAAATACAGATCCATGGTTAGTGCAGATAGTGCTCTCAGCTACTTACTGAAAGATTGGCTGTTGAATCCACCTAGCACTGTGGAAGAAAGACCTAAAATTCTACTTCTGTAAGATCGTTGTTGTTGTTGTTAGAGCCGTTGAGTCAGTTCTGACTCGTAGCAACCCTATATGGGATTTCCAAGGAGCAGCTGATGGGCTTGAACTGCTGAGCATGTGGTTTACATTCCAGTGCTTATCCTGCAGCACCACGACAGAAGTTCGAGAAAACCGTATGGAGCGCAGTTCCACTCTGAAACACATGAGGTCGCCATGGGTTAAAATTGACTCAACGACAATGAGTTTTAATAAAAATACCAGGAAATTGATGAAACAGCTGCCTTCCTTCGAGTCCTCATACTCTCTTCTATCTCTTTACCAAGGCTGTTTAGGAGGGAAAAAAGTAAAGAGGATTTGAAGTAAACTAGGAGCTCTGGTAGTGTAGTGGTTACGAATCGGGCTATGAACTGCAAGGTCAGCAGTTCGGAGCTACCAGCTGCTCCACGGGAGAAAGATGAGGCATTCTGCTCCCATAAAGATTTACAGCCTCGCAAACCCTGTATAGGGTCACCATGAGTCAGAACCGACTCCACGGCACATAACAACAACAACAATAGAACTTTGTGATTTTAGAGTTCTCTTTTAGTTTGCCAGCTATGTGTATTTATAATTCCCACCCCTCTTGCCCCCACTTAAGACTTTGCATTTGGATTTATCATGGTATTGTAAACATGCCTTTTAAGATTAAAAAAAAATAATTTATTGTATTTTTTGTTGTTGAAAAAATGCACAACAGAGCACACATCAACAAATTCTACATGTACAGTTCAGTTGTATTGATCACATTCTTCAAGTTATGCATCAATGGGCTCTAGCATGGCAACAATGGTGAGGTTGGCCCAGGACCGGGCAGTGTTTCGTTCTGTTGTGCATAGGATCACTATGAGTTGGAACTGACTCGACGGCACCTGACAACAACCAGCTTCCTATCTCATCTTTCAAGTTGCTTTTTCCAAGCTGATTTTATATAGTTCTTTAAAAGAGCACAATGCTTGGACCGCGGTGCACGGGCGGCCTGCGGGCTTTGTCGGCGGGATTACCTTGCTGGCGTCCAGCCTCTCCCGCAGCTCGGCCAGTGGAGCTGGGCCCGCGCCATCTATCACTGCTGGGTGCCAGCCCCTCGGGACCTCGGAGGCACCCACATGAATGGCAGCACCACCAGAGAGCAGAGGCACTGGTGTGTCTCCTGCAAGGCCACATCCCTTGACCAGCGTGGACACTGAAGTGGAGCTTCCAGGGCCTGAATCCAGGCGCCGCACACCCCCTTCTACCCAAGTCATGCCAGCTACTGGCATGGTGCCCCTTCCAAGCCTAGCTCCCTGCTTGGTTTCCTCTCTCAGACTCAGCTGTGTATTTAAGCAGTTGTATGTGACCTTTCAGACTCCTGGGGTGGCGCTATAGGATCAGCACTAGACTGCGAACCATTAAGATTGACAGTTCAAACCCACCAGCTGTTCCTTGGAAACTCTATACGGGTCACTGTGAATTGAAACAACTCCAACAACATGACATTTCATCCTGCAAACCCTGTTGGCTTAGGCCACTATGTCTGGAACCAGAAAACCTGGCCTCCTTTTACTCCCTTTTATTCATTTCATTCAGGTTTCTTTAAAAGAAAAGTCTTCATCCAGTTTTCCTTGAATTCACGGAAGGAAAAACAAGCTAAGCAGATGCTGAAGGGCTGTGGATTCCCAGATCAGTGTTTCTTCAAAGCGAGATAAATAATCATTTTCAAAACTTTCTGAAGTTCAAAAGCTTATAAAACCCTCCCGAGGTGTGATTAATAAATGTGCTAACACACGTATTTGAGCATAGCCTGTTTCCAGGTTGTGTAAGAATCAGTTTTAAAAGAAAAATCAGAATTTATTACTGAATCCCAAAGCAGAACAACAGCCCAATCCTCCTCCTATGTATTTATTTACTTTTAATAAAAAGAACCAAGTTTTTTAAAAAAAGAGCACAATGCTCAAGGCAGACTTTCTTTACAAATTAAGCCAAACTATTTTATTTATTATTTTTTCTAAAAGCTTTTATTGTGAATTGAGTGGTAGTTTACAAGGCAGGTCATCAGTTTTACACGTAACCAATTTATGTTTCACTGCAAGGATTATGATCCCCTCCAGCACTGTCAATTAACATTATTTACCTCTACTCCTTTTTTTTTTTTTTTTAAGGTATACAAAACACACAGAAAATACATGTTCATTTAAACAACCAAAGGGAACATTTTGCAAGCCAGCCTCCTGCTTGCAGGCAGACAGCCTTTCTTATTCCATGGGTCCAGAGTCCTCAGCTGCTCTATCTCTCCATGCCATCACCTCTGTTTCCGTCTCTGGTGTCGCTGCTTTTCTGGTTAGGATCCCATGCTCTGCTCATGCTCTTCCCTTTTGATGGACCTAGGGTCCTCTGTTCCTGGAGTGAAAGATTAACTACTTCCTCCTTTTTGTTTCATAAGCTGAACTATTTAAAAGAAAACTTTGTTGTTATTAAGGGCTGTCAAGTCTGGTCTGACTCATAGTGACCCTGTATAGGGTTTCCAAAGAGAGGCCAGCCTTTCTGTTAACACTCCAGTACTTATCCTAAAGCACCACACTAGAAGACCTTGTTGTTGTTAACTGCCATGGAGTCCATTCCAACCCATAGCAACCCTGTATAGGGTTTCCAAAGAGAGGCCAGCCTTTCTGTTAACACTCTAGTACTTATCCTGAAGCACCACACTAGAAGACCTTGTTGTTGTTAACTGCCATCGAGAGTCCATTCCAACCCATAGCAACCCTGTATAGGGTTTCCAAAGAGCAGCTGGTGAGCTTGCAGTTCAAATGACTTTGCCGTCTGACACATTAACCCACAGTACCACACCAGAAGACCTTAGGGGATATGATTAGCTTAAGGTTTAAAGATTGTCTCAGGAAATGATTTTAAGGGTTCATCCCCCCTCTGTGGATCCGTAAAGTCTGGATTCCATGAACATTTGAAATTCAGTTCCACTTGGATCAGAATTGTTTTCTAGAAACATAATCAACACGTTCAACAATTATTGAGAGTTGTGAGAGCATGGCCCATTATCAAAGCAGTCCTTCAGGGAAGTGGGGAAGAGGGAGAACTGAGAAAGCTCTGTTCTTGACTTTTGTCACATCCTGAATTCTCTGGTCATCACCAGAACTGTAACAGTAACGACAGAATCTACACTGGAACCCAGATCACACTGTGCCAGGCAGGACAGAAGGGGATGTGTCCACGGACCTGTGGGGAAAAGATCTACATCTTCACTGTCCATAGACCAGGCTAGAAAATGACCCTGTCCATCAAACCTTTGAACCCTAGTGTAGAAGTCCACCATTACTTCCACCTATTCTGAAGCATCCAGTGGATCCCAGTGTCTCATTCCTTTGGGTCTTGCCAGTCTTTTAATTATATAAATCATTTGCACTACCTGTTTAAAACCAAAAAAACAGATGTTGTTGAGTCATTTCTGACTCATGGTGAACCCAGATGTGTCAGTGTAACACTGCTCCATAGAGTTTTCAATGTTGGTTTTTCAGTTAGATCACCAGGCATTTCTTCCAAGGTACCTCTGGGTGGACTCAAACTTCCAACTTTTGGGCTAGCTGCTGAGTGCATTAATCATCCCCTCCACTGACTTTCCCTTTTGACAATACTAAAATACTAAATAAGGAGCTCTGGTAGCGTAGTGGTTACGAATCAGGCTGTGAACCACAAGGTCAGCAGTTCGAAACTGCCAGCGGTTCCGCAGGAGAAAGAGGAGACTTTCTGCTCCCGTAAAAATTTACAGCCTCGGAAACCCTGTGCAGGGTCACTATGAGTCAGAACCGACTCCACGGCACTTAACAACAACAACAACAAAACACTAAATACACTTATGTGAATATTTTTATTTGAAGCAGACGATTGATCACAGTAGTATTATAAATCCTTTATATATATATATATATATATATATATATATATGGAGAGAGAGAGAGAGAGAGAGACATTAAAATTAAAGAATAGGGTTAATAGACTTATCCTTTTAAAAAAAATTTTCAGCTCTTTCTATAAGTAAAATTAAATGGCAAAGTTGCACATAATGAGATGTATAAACATTGCAGAAATAGAGAAATAGGATCCTGAAAAAAATAATTGGTTTGCCTATTTCATGTAAAACTGTTTTGTTCTCTCCTCATTTAAGTATCTTGCTTTTCATTTTCCTTAAGTAGAACAGACATAGCTCCTCATTTAGAAACCCCAATTTGAGCTAACTCGTCTCTAATTACAAATCAAACCCAAGAAGATCATTCCTGTCCCATCTTCTCTTGTCTTCCTCTCATTTGGCAAGGAACCAGTCACCTTGGCAACCTGATTCAGATTGCTAATAGGGCAAATGAAACCTTCCATTTTCATCCACCTTATTCAAATTGGCGTCCTGATGTGGCACTGTGGATTCATGTGCTGGACTGCAAGGTCGGTTTGAACCACAGAGTCAGCGGTTCAAACTCACCAACCACTCCTCGGAAACCCTATACAGGGTCACTATGAGTAGGAACTGACTCGGTGGCACTTAACAACAACATTCCAATTAGAAATTATTTACAGTCACCTTCTAGATTAAAATGTAACTCACAACGAGCATTAGGAAACCAGGGTACACAGTGCTGTTGCTGCGGCACATTGAAAGTGCACACCCAGTGTTTGCTTCAAAGGTGTCAGTGTGAGAAGGCAGAGGGTGCTGTGGCCCACACACTGCCCTCTTCTGGTAGATAACCATCCCACATTTCCTCACCGTTCACTGCTGAGAGGTTCCTGAGAACAGGTGCTTGTTCAAGGGAAGAGCCTGGCTCCTAGCAGAGAGCCCAGTCTGGGTCCAGCCCTGCTTCCCATGACTTCAGGATTCTGCTCCAGGAGATTGTATTTGTACCCATTGAAGTGACACACAGACCCGATGGCAAGAAATGAAATTATTGACAGACCTTTCAATCAGGCTGCCTTCTCCAGAGCAAGTGTGAATGGTAAGGTTGACTCTCTTGGTGCCCACTGGGGCAAGGACTAGGCCAGTCTATGGGCTCAGGGCTCTAATTCCTAAATTCTCAAAGTTCACACTGTGTTTAAAAAACAAATTAAAATATATATATAAATAATGTGTATGTATACATATATACAAAAAAACTTTAAAAAGTTCATAAAAGAGTGGAATTAAAGGTTAATGGATATTTTCTACAAACTCTGTATATGTATACATATGAGGGTAATCAGAAAGTATTCCTACTAAGGTTCCAGTTCATGCATGGCTTTATTCAAAACAACATGTGTATAAACATGTGTCTGTGATCAGTGTATGACTGAAGACAAGGTGTCTCAACATACAATTTTTTAAGTTGTCTTAGGATGACTTCTAAAAAAAGATCCAATCCAAACAGTGGCTTCTGAGGGAATCTGCTGGACCAGTTAAATTTAAGGCAGACAGGTCAGCTCAGAAAACTAAAGGTGATTGTTTGATGGGTTTCCAAAAGGATAATCCTGATAGATTTTCTTGAAGGACACAGTACAATCACAGGGTCTGGAAGAAGTTTTAAGAAAATGGAAAACTTCATTATGAGAAAAAGACCCAGAAAGTTGTACCAAAGAATTTTTTTTCCCCTGTGTACCTGCTCACTCTTCAAGGGCAGTAATGACTCCCCTATGAGAATCTCACTGGGAAACTTGACCTGGTCTTGGCCCATCAGACTTTTCTTCGAAACTTTTTATTGTGAATTGAGTGAAGGTTTACAGAGCAGATCATCAGCTTTACATCCAACAAATCACACACTTCATTTCATCTCAATGATTGCAGCCCCCTCCATGGAGCAACAGTTACCCATTTCCTCCATGTGGCTCCTATTTCTATTCCACTCTCCTTCCCAACTCCTCTATATCTTGTCCCTAGGTAAATGTTGCCCTTTTGATCTTGAATGGTTAACCATTCCATGGTGCACATGCCTCACTGGTATTGTCTCCCCCAATATACCTACCTCCTCCTTGGTTGAAAATTTGGCAATGAGAGTGAGTTCCATTCCAGACCAGAAGGGTGATTGTGGACCATAGTCTTGGGTTCCTATAGTCTCTTTCTGACCAGTAAGCCCAATCTTTTTTTTTTTTTTTTTTTTTTAATAATTTTGAGTTTTGTTCTATCCAGGACCTTCTAATGTGATCCCTTTCAGAGCATTTGGTAGTGGCAGCTGGGCACCGTCCAGTTCTTCTGATCATGGAGACTGATGGTCACATGTTCCGTTAGTCCATTGGACTAATTGATTCCAAGCATCATTAGTTTTCATCACTCTTCTTTCTTCCACACATGGAGAGACCAATAGTTTCACCTTTGCGTACCTCTCGTGAGCTTTAACCATCCCAGTCTCAGCTCACCAAAGTAGGATGGAGAACATTGCCCTCAGACTTCTTTTTGTTCCTAAAACACAAAGAGCATTTAAAAGGAACATGTTTCGAGTTCTTCGGATAACCAAACGCCATTTTGACAGTGTGTAAATCAAAATGGCAGCAGCAATGGGCTCAAACATAATGACAAGGAGGATGATGCAGAGCCAGTCAGTGTTTCAGAACCAACTCAACAGCACCTAACAACAAAAATAATGTATATATACACACATGCGTACTTGAGTACAAGGATTTTCTGTCTAAAACAATTTTTATATTCTTATAGCATAGTGGTTACGAGTCAGGCTGCCAACCCTTAAAGTCAGCAGTTCGAAACTACCAGCGGTTCTACGGGAGAAAGATGAAGCTTTCTGCTCCCGTAAAGATTTACAACCTCGGAAACCCTCTACAGGGTTGCTATGAGTCAGAACCGACTCTACCGCACACCACCACCAAACTTAAATTTAATTTTTTTTTTTTTTTTGCATTCAAATATCTCAAACTAATAGGTTTCAACTCAACTCCCCATCCCATCCCCCACCTAAGGAATTCCCACCTAAAATGGCAGCTTATCTCTGCTAGGGAGACTTCTCACTAATCGCCTCCCCCAGCAATTTAATAAATCCCTTCGCTTAAGAATTACCTCTTTAACAAACTCTTTTCAAATTTGTTTTGAAAGGAAGAATCACCTTTTTCAAATGAAATTTAAAGGCAAACCACCAAAATAAAGAGCAAAGCAGCAGAGATTGAAGGGAAGGATTGGGAAGGAGCCAGGTTGATGTCCCTCTGATGATCTCTCCTTTTTGACTCTTAAGCAGCCCCTTAATGAATGAATATATGTGTCAAGCCTTTAGAAACCACTATCTTAATAGCCCACTTATTATGGAGCTGAAACATGGAAGCCAGCATGGGTCAATGTACCAGTCATAATTGGTACATGGGTCAATGTACCAATCATAATTATTTTGCAAGTTTCCTCTGAGTGGTAGGGAAGGTGAAGAGGTTTGATAAGCTGTGCTTTGCAGACCAAAGGGCAAAGTTTTCATGTTTTTTAAATACTATTTTCTGTTGGGTACTTTTCAGGCGCCATCAATGAGAAAGCCACCCATCCTGGCTACTACGAGGACCTAGTGGAGAAGTCAATGGGGAAGTATAATCTTGCCACAGAGGAGATTGAGAGGGACTTGCACCGCTCCCTTCCAGAACACCCTGCTTTCCAGAATGAGATGGGCATTGCTGCTCTGAGGAGAGTCTTAACAGCGTATGCTTTTCGGAATCCTAATATAGGGTACTGCCAGGTAAGTATCTCTGGTGCTTCATAAACCCAAACCCACTGCCGTCAAATTGAATCCGACTCATAGTGACACTATATAGCATTTCCAAGGCTGTCAGTCATTGAGGGAGCAGTAAGTAGCTGATGGGTTCAAACTGCCAACCTACAGTTAGCATGGGTTAGGTACAATGCTTAACCCATGATGTCACCAGGACTCAGATTAAAAATCAGGTGCAATTTTAATAATGATTTTACTTGGGAAAATATTGAGTACAATTTATAAGAAAGAGCCTAATAGAACAAAACCCCTTTTTCAAAAGTGTACTGCAGAAGCCTGATGAACAATGACTGGTTCTATAAGATCAAAAGAAGTGCAGGCATTCATTTACCTCTGTTACAAAGAGTTCCTGTTTATCTTTTGATCTTCCTCTGGTTAATTATGAGAACTGTTAAAGTTGTTTAGGTCCCAGTTATGCTCAATCTGGTAATATCTTTTAGTAAGGAATGTTTAGTTTAGAATTTAAATCATTGTAACTTACCATTACCATCTATATGGAAATAATGGACAAGGATTCTAATTTTGAAAGGTTTCATTGTTGTTTGGGGAGAGCTTGGAGCCCTGTGTAATTGTGAGTGGTTAAAAAGAATAAATTTATCTGGCTGAATTAAAGATAAAGAATGCTGAGAGATTTTAGCAGGTTAAAAGCTTTGGCAAATAGCCTTTAGGCACTTTTTTTCTGCTTTTTATTTTGAATTGAGTATACCAAAGGGTATATCCCACAAGCCTGCCCCCTGGTCGTCAGCACACAGCCCCTCTCCCTCTCTGGGTCCAAAGTCCCAGCCACTCCATCTCTCCACGTCATCGTCTTTGCCTACATCTTTAGCATCACTGCTCCTCTGGGTAGGGTTCTGTTCTCCGCTCTTCTCCCTTAATGGTTCCAGGGACCTCTGCTCCTAGACTGCAAAATTAATCACTCCCCTCCTTTTGCCACAAAACGTCTACCTTTGCCTTTCCAGCCCTTACAGTCAGTACTGATACCAATTATTCACTATTGTATTGCAAGAGACCTATCGGCATCTCCTTTCATCAGCCCGGACTAGACAGAATGGATACTACTCAGTGGAGATTCTACCTTCCTCCACACCCTCTGGATCTAGGTTCCCTCTTGAAAGCTTTTAAGCCCCATTCTGGGCAGTCAATGTCCAAGTTGCCCATCCCTGTCCTCTCCATGTATGGAGAGGGTAGGAATGATCCTCGCATTGAAAATTTGTTCCCTCTTTTGAGCTACTGCATCCATAGGTGTAGGTCAAGTTCATCAAATTGTATCAGATAATTCTTTTTCCCTCTTCTTTCTTCTTCTAGTTGAGCTCTGATCATCCAGTCATTGAAGCCAGGTCAAGTGGGTATTAACTGCAAGTGTGGGTGTACTTATATGCATGTGCCCTCTCGTCTTATCAGCTGGATGCTTCACTCTCCACTCTAGTCCTCTGTGACTATGTCACTGACTCTAGGCCCAAGAGTCCCCTGGACTTGGCTTACTGCTGGCCAACCAAGTCTCCAGCCGGGTTCACAGGAGTCTATTGAATGTTGTAGGGCTTAGTTCATAGCTTCATTGCTGCTTTTCCCTCATTTCCCATTATCAGTGACGAACGTGGTCACTAATCAGAGCATGTATTCCTATTGGGTCTTAGTCTTAAAAGGAGGGTTGCCCTGAGGGGACCCGACCACATTCCTTGATGTCTCCTGGGGGAGCCACTTGTTCGTTCTTGTAGTAATCCGTTGGTCTGCCTATATTGTTTTCTTTTGTTTCCTGTCAGTCTTTCTTTCAAGAAGTATCTTCTGTTCTTCTGGTTGCTCCAGGCTGGTCTGCTTGTCCTTTCAAGTGGAAACTTCCCCTTAGAAGATTCTGGATGCTGTTCAAGATTCCACCTTTGGTCTTATGTAATGCAGAGGCTCCACAGGAAGCCTCCTTCACTGGGCACATTGTAGCCTCATTTTAGGTATTCCAATCAGTTATAGGCAGAAGCTTTTATGGTGATATTTCTGACTATTCCTTTCTCTCCCTACCCCAGTGTCTATTTTATAGTGGTATACCAGGGAAACCAAGATTCAAAAGACAACCAAGCATCTTAACATTATTTCCCCCTTCTCCCTATTCCAACCATGTCTCAATCTCTGTATCCCAGAGCCCTGTTGTTCCAAGGTTGTGCATACATCATTATTTGCCTCTGTCCCACTTCAGTTTCACATTCATCCTATCGTATTTCATTTCATTGCAATGATTACATCAAATAACTAAAGGATACACCCCACAGACCCACACCCACCCCCCCTCTGGCTGTCAGCAAACAGCTCCTCTCCCTCCCTGAGTCCAATGTCCCAGCCACTACATCTGTCCACATCATCATCTGTCTTCAGGAATTTTTTTTAAGTTACCACGATTGCTGTAATTTTAACATATGTTTGATGACACCCGTTTTTATTCCTCTAGGCCATGAATATTGTCACATCAGTACTGCTTCTTTATGCCAAAGAAGAGGAAGCTTTCTGGCTGCTTGTAGCTCTGTGTGAGCGCATGCTCCCCGATTACTACAACACCAGAGTCGTTGGTATGTGTGACTATGTTTTAACTTCTAACCTGTGTCTAATCAAGAAGATGTTTCTAGAAAAGTGATGTCAGCTGGAACTGTACTTCTAGTCACCAGTAGTCAACAGAGTTTAGGACACTACAGTTTTCCTAATTGGAAATGAGAAAGTGTGAATAAATACAGGTTTTACATGACAGATTCACACAGAATATAAGAGAGTACACATGTATCGCGGTCACACACATTTGAGGAGAGTGTCACTCAAAGTGACATGTGAGGGCTACAGCAAACACACCAAGCATCAACAGGAAATTTTTTTACAGAAAAGCTCTGCAATGAAAAGGGTGAAACCTGTGGCGAGCAGAGGTAGAACCTAAGAAGTAGAGATAGTTGCTTATAAATGTTTTTCAAAAGCTGAAGTTTTAAGGTGCTTTTCAGACCTAGATTCATTACAAAGCAAACAGTAATAGTGAGCACTTAAACAAATGATTAGTGTTCTTCCTACAGTCACATTCAGCTTGGCAGGACAAGCTTTATCCTTAATGAGGTAGTAATACGCGTGCATTATGCTTCCTTGTGTTTTGCCTTCTTTTCTAAAGCTCTGCACACTGTACTAGTTTGATTCGTTCAAAGTATTCTCCAAAAATGTCAGTATGTTGACCTAAAATGTGCAGTTGAAGTACTTTTTTATTATTATTTTACTTTTTGCTTCTCTCCTTCCTCCCTCCTTTCCTTTTTCTCTCCCTTCCTCCTCTCTCCCTCTCTCTTTCTCTTTCTTTCAGAATTCTTTTGTTTAAGAGCAAGAAGGACCACAGATCCAGAAAAGCAATATATGTTTTTTAACTGTAGTAAAATGCATATAACATAAAGTTTCCCGTTTTACCTTCTTTAAAGTGTACAACTCAGTGGCATTAAGTACATTCACTGTGTTGTACAACTACTATTTTGCACCAAAATGTTTTTATCACCCCAGATATAAATCCTGTATTCATTAAGTGATTACTCCTTGTTCCTCCCATTCCCAAACCTTGGCAGCCACCAGTCACGTAACTGTCTCTATGGATGTACCTCTTTTGGATATTTCGTATAAATGGCATTATACAATATGTGGCCTATTGTATCTGGCTTTGTTCACTAAGTATAATGTTTTCAAGGTTCATCCATGCAGTAGCATGTGTCATTACTTTATTCCTATTTATGGCTGAATAATATTCCATTGGAATATTATTTATTTAAAAAATACATATATATATATATATTTATTGCTTTGGTGATTCCTCAACAAGTTCAACATAGCTTTACTATATGGCTCAGCAATTACATTTCTATATATACACCCAAGAGAACTGAAAGCATATAGAAACTTGTACATGAATACTCGCAGCAACATTATTTTTAACAGTCAAATAGAGAACTTCCAGAACAGAGAACTTCCAGGGGTTCAGGCTGGTTTCAGAATAGGGTGTGGAATAAGGGAGATCATTGCTGACGTCAATGGATCATTGCTGAAAGCAGAGAATAACAGAAAGATGTTTACCTGTGCTTTATTGACTATGCAAAGACTTTCGATTGTGTGGATCATGACAAGCTATGGACGACATTGTGAAGTAGGAGTATTCCGGAACACTTAATTGTGCTCATGAGGAATCTGTACATGGACCAAGAGGTAGTTTTTCAGAACAAAGGGAACACCGAATGGTTTAAAATTAGGAAAGGTGTGTGTCAGGGTTGCATTCTTTCACAATACTTATTCAATCTGTATGCTGAATAAATAATCTGAGAAACTGTATTATATGGAGAAAACCATGGCACCAGGATTGGAGGAAGACTCGTTAACAACCTCTGATATGCAGATGATACAACCTTGCTTGCTGAAAGCGAAGAAGACTTAAAATACTTACTGATAAAGGTCAAAGACCACAGCCTTCAGTATGGGTTGCATCTCAATTTAAAGAAAACAAATATAAAGTTGTCAAAGACTTCATTTTTCTCAGATCAACCATCAACACTCATGGAAGCAGCAGTCATATAATCAAATGACATATTGCATTAGGCAATTCTGCTGCACGAGACCTTTTTAAAGTGTTGAAGAGCAAAGATGTCATTTTGAGGACTAAGGTGCGCCTGACCCAAGCCACGGTATTTTCAATAACCTCATATGGATGTGAAAGTTGGACAGTGAATGAGGAAGACTATAGGAGAATTGGTGTGTTTCAATTATGGTGTTGGATGGAAATATTAAAAATACCATGGACTGCCAAAAGAACAAACAAGTCTGTGTGGGAAGAAGTACAGCCAGTACTTCGAAGTTCTCCTTGGAAGCCAGGATGGCCAAATTTCATCTCTCATACTTCGGACATATAATCAGGAGGGGACAGTCACTGGAGAAGGATATCATGTTTGGTAAAGTGGAGGATCAGAGAAAAAGAAGAAAACCCCTAACAAGATACATTGGCACAGTGGCAGCATCAATGAGCTCAGGCATAGCAATGGTCGTGAAGCTGGTCCAGTACCAGTCAGTGTTTTGTTCTGTTGTGCATAGGGTCGCCATTAGTCATTACCAATTCGATGGCACCTAACAACAACAACAATATTCCATTATATGGATAAAACCACAGTTTTTGTTTTTTATTCACTCATCCATCACTGGACATTTGAGTTGCTTCATCTTTTGACTATAAAAAATAATGTTGCTGCGAACATTCATGTACAAGTTTCTATATGATTTTAATTCTCTTGGGTGTATACATAGAAATGTAATTGCTGAGCCATATAGTAACAGCTATGTTTAACAGGTTGAGGAATCACGAAAGCAATATATATATATATATATATATACACACACACACAAGCATATGTATATATAATTTTTTTTTAATAAGGATTTTCCAAGTAAGACATGGTTATCGCTCCTTTGATATACATTGCAAGCATAACCAAATGTTACATAACTGATTGTGGATCATATAAACTTTGAACAGCCCTTACCCTGAGAGCAGGTTTTACCCTGAGTGAGGACAGGAGGGCCCCAGAGAGAAAGAGAAGATGCAGCCAGGACTAAACTGGGTAACATAGCTGGCACCTTCTTCTAGCAACACAGATTGATGTCCGGCAGAACAGCTAACAGAAAGGACCAAGAATTCTGTCTCCACAAAGAAAAACAGTTGTGAATTGATTTATTATGTTGTCTCTTTGGTTGTATTCACCAATAAGAAGGTGTCACTGATTAACCTTTGTCCCTTTTGTGTCCACCCATGATGCAGGTGCTTTGGTGGACCAGGGTGTCTTCGAGGAATTGGCACGAGACTATGTCCCACAGCTGTATGACTGCATGCAAGACCTGGGGGTGATTTCCACCATCTCCCTGTCATGGTTCCTCACACTATTTCTCAGTGTGATGCCCTTTGAGAGTGCAGTTGTTGTTGTTGACTGTTTCTTCTATGAAGGAATCAAAGTGATATTCCAGTTGGCGCTGGCTGTGTTGGATGCAAACGTGGATAAACTGTTAAACTGCAAAGATGACGGGGAGGCCATGACTGTTTTGGGAAGGTACTGCACTAAGTTGAGCTTTGAAAACCACCCTGTATTCTCCACCCTCTTGGCCCAGGATCGGGCAGTGTTTCATTCTGCTGTGCATAAGGTCACTATGGGTCAGTACCGACTCGATGGCACCTAACAACTACAACATTCTCCATCTAGGTTTCTCTTGGGATTCATGATTCTTAATTAGTTTGATGCTAATCATGATGCCCATTTCTGTCTTTGACTGAGGAGTCACTGGGATTTTTGTTTTTTGTTTTGTTTTGTTTTGTTTTTGTGGTTAGAAGTTAAGTGAATTTCATTCTTTTTTAAAGGGAAATTCTAGTTCTTTGTTTTAAAAATGCAGAGTTTTCAGAAAATGAGTGGAGAACTGTCATGGGGAAGTCTGTGTAAATCTCTCATGACTTCTGATTCACTTCTTCTTCCAGGTATTTAGACAGTGTGACCAATAAAGACAGCACACTGCCCCCCATTCCTCACCTTCACTCCCTGCTCAGTGATGACGTGGAACCTTACCCCGAGGTAGACATCTTCAGACTCATCAGAACTTCCTATGAGGTAGGTGAGGACGTCCTGAGAGTGCCATGGGGGTTCAGCTGGATGTGTACCATGCATTCGCATTGTAAACCCAGGAAATAGGTTCTCCCATGAGTGCACTTTCTCCCTCTTACCTTATGGAACCACACTACCTATCAACTGGTAGCTGCAGGCCCCTAGTTTGGAAATCAAGCATGAACACTGAAGAGGGTCTAAGATACTTGTGGAACCAAGACTATAATAGCAAATATCATGACCAGTTCTTTGCTTCTGCCCACCCTGAAGCCTGGTCTTGAGCTAGCTCAAGTACAACTCTGCATTAAGAGTTATTGAAAGCAGGCATGGGGAGTTAGACCTGAGTCTCATCCTAAGTATTTGGGTCTTCTCAGAAGAAGACAAGGCAGTCCTGTTCAGTCCAAGACACTCAGAACACCCAGCCTTATCTTAGAACAAAATCAAGAGTCCTGGCATGTCCCTAGAATTGCTTCTAGGCCTAGGGCTGGAGTAGATTGGGAAGGAAGATTACTGTATGGTCAGTGGTAGACCCAGGCTGAGCTCGATCTAACTTCGAATCCCAGAATTGAGCTGAGGAGCTCCTAGATATAAAGGAGCCACAGAGCATGTGGTGGTTTGTGGGTCTCCAAGGACCCAGTACCCAGAACACCAGATGGTTTCTTCATTTCCTGAGCCTTGGCTCAGCAAGCCTCTATCGAATCATCCTTTAGAAAGAGATAAGGTAGATATTCTGCGGAGCACACCATGCCCTATATAGATTTTTTGGGATTGCATGAAAGGCAGTTGTCAGCATTCCAGCCAGCAACAGTCTACCAAAAAGAAAAATGGTAAGGGAGGAAGTAAGATTAGGAAAAGTCCCTCTCAGAGTTGAAAATTTAGTGCTTTAAAAAAAAAAAAAAATTGGTATGGATTCAGTGTCCTTGTCAGAAATGTGTATTTTTAACTCCTGATGGAAGAAAGATTGGTCATTTATAGTTGTTTTTGTTTTGTTTTTCAATTTCCTTTGAGATTCCATATGACTTGAAAACAAAACATTTTTGGCTATGTTTTAGAGTCATGAAAGTAATGCATGCTCTTTGTACACATATAAACTATAAAAAAAATAAAGGAAAAACAAGCTGTATCTATGAGCATTTTACCCTATTTCTGTCAAGTATCTCTTCATATACACAATACATAGTTTTTAAAGTTTTCTATTGTGAATTGAGTGAAGATTTACAGATCAGATCATTAGTTTTTAATTCAACAAATCATAGACTTTGTTTCATTACAATGATTTCAGTCCCCTCTGTATACCAACAGTTAACAGTATTTAACTCTCTCTATTCACTTTAACTATGTAAAACATATTTTAAAAATAAAGTCCTAATAAAAATGCTTAGTAACATTTTGTTTTTCACTTAAAATATACTATGGGTATTCTCTATTGCATTATATATTGTTTGAAGACATGATTTTAGTAGATTATTAGTATTTTGCTTTTATGAGGTACCAACATTTCTTTATCTAGTCCCTTTTTGCTGGACATTGTCAGTATTTTCAGCTACTTCCAATTTTTCAGTATTCAATGGCATTCTGTAATAGATTTGTATACAAATAATCATATCTCTGAGGGCTTATTAGAGTTCTAGGAGAGAGTGTGCTATAATAAATCAAAAGTACAAATAATCTGCAAGCTCCTACTCAGTTTCCATAAAGGTTGTCCCAGTTTCTATTTTCACTAGTAGAGACCAAGAATGGCTGTTTCACTTCATTCTCTCCAAAGCTGGTTATTACCATAGTGCAGTTTTGTTTTGTTTTGTTTTTTAAATCATTGCTCTGGGAGTTTTGGATCACATCCAATCAGAAATTCTGGATAATTATTCTTCCAGAAAAAGATCCCGTATGATAATAGGCAAACTCAGCCTTGTTCTCATCAGTAGATAACTTAACATCGAACCAACATCAGCACTTTGCCCATTTTAATGGGAGAAGAGATTGCAGATAATTCTGGTTTCCATTTACATCCTGTCTGGCTGGTCGCTTATAGCAGAACACAACAGCAGTTTCCTTCTTTTGTTTGATATTATTTTTATTTTTGTTTTTTCTTACCTTCTTAAGTGTCACCATTCCGCTTTAAGTTCCAGTGACTCCCCATTGCCTTCTAGATCAACTCAAATAAAACAGCACAAACTCTTACCTGTCTCCCCCACCTATTAGATTTTGTGGTTCTCAGACCTGACTGGGCATTAAAATAACCTACAATTCCCAGACTCCACTCCAGACTAATTAAATCTACTACATCTCTAGGCATGTGGCCCAAGAATAAGAATTTTTTTCAAGTTCTTCCCTGGATCGTTCTAGTGCCAAAGTCTGAAAGCATTTGGCCTTGGCACTGGAAGTCAGTGAGGGCTGAAGATCACTATCTTGGATGTAGAATAGGGTCTCTGATCACTGAAGCTTATTGTAACCTGGTTTAGACTAACTGGATGTTCTGTCTACTTTCTGTGCATCAGGATAATTAGCAAAAAACAATGAAAGCAGGAAAGATATCCTTAAAGCACTTTTGCTTTTGAGATCTGGTCAAGGGCTCCCTAGGTAGATGGATGTGCTCAGACTGGTTTAGCCTGGTAAATAGAGGAGAGAACTGGAATTCAAAAGTGCCCTTAGGAGGAAATTTCTCATTGTAAGGTCTCTCAAGTCCCATTGGGAGAAACTATATAGACATTTTGAGACAGTTTTCTTTTGTGTGTGCCAGGTGTGAGGTTCTGTGATTATGACAGTTACACAAGACAGAGTCCCTGGGTGATGCAAACAGCTAAGTGCTCTGCTACAAACTGAAAGTTTGGCAGTTCAAAATCAGGGCTTCAGACACATTCATTCTGATTCATTCCCTGCTGAGAATTTGCATTTCCATCCTGGTGTGGTGCTGTGGGCTAATGTGTCAGACTGCAAAGTCATTTAAACTGCAAGGTCGGTGGTTCAAGCTCACCAGCTGCCCCTTGGAAACCCTTTACAGGGTCGCTATGGGTCGGAATCAACTTGACAGCACTTAATAACAACAACATCCCAGATATATTGAGTCAGAATCTTCATTTTAACAGATCTCTTGATTATAATTCTTTGTGGCACTGTAGGATAAGCACTGGCTTACTAACCACAGGTTGTGGTTTAAACCCACCTGCCACTCCTTGGAAACCTTCCACAGGGTCCCTGTGAGTTGGAACCAGCTTGGTGGCTCTTAACAACAACAATAACAATATCTGAGGTGAGCATGCAAATTCTCAGCAAGGGGTCAGCCAGTCTACCCAGAGTCACCTTGGAAGAAAAGCCTGAAAAATCATTGAAAAGCCAGTGGAGAGTAGTCTGAAACACATGATATATCACATGAGTCAGAATCCACTGCACAACAATTCTAAAAGACCAAATCCCAGCTTTGAAGTTAGATAGAGATGACTCTCCTGTGAGCACCAAACCAATGGCTATAGAGTCTGTTCCAACTCATGTTGATCCCATGTGGGCTAGAGTTGTTGTAGTTATTAAGTGCCAACTCATAGTGACCCTGTGAGGATAGGATTTCTCAGGAACAGTTGGTGGGTTCGAACCACAGAACTTGTGGTTCACAGCCCAGTGCTTATCCTACAGCACCACACCAGGAGTCCGTGGGTTATAGTAGCTTGGTGCTTCATAGAGTTTTCAATGGCTATTTCTTTCCAAAGTGGAGTACCAGGACATTCTTTCCAAAGTGGAGATGTTCTGTGAGGATTCCAACTACCAACCTTTTCAGTCAGTAGCTGAACACTTTGTGCCATTGCTGTTAAGTCAGTCTGTGACTCATAGCAACCACAGGATTGCCAAAGCTGTGAATCTTTACAGAAGCTGACTGCCATGTCTGTCTCTCATAGAATGGCTGGTGGGTTCGAGTCCCCAACCGTTCAGTTAGCAACCAAATGCTTAAACCCTATGCCACTAGGATTCCTTTCTGGAAGGCACAGGGGTGCATTAATAAAATGCTTCACCGTAGGCATCCACCCCACAAAGTTTCTTCATAATCAACATGAACCAGTTTAGGTGGGTTTGGTCTGAGACTTGTTAAGCAGAGAAGGGCTGTCGCTGATAAAACACAAAGAATAGTTTGTACAGAAGGTCATGCAGTTATGAAAGTTCACAGTAATGTACTGGGCCTATCAGTGATGACTGGAATAGCAAGTACTCATTGAAAGCCTGCCATGTGTGCGACTGTATGTGAGTGCTTCTTAGACAGCTCTGCCGGGTAAATGTTAACCCAGCTTAACATGAAAATGTAAATTGTGAAAGGTTGAGCAAATTGTTCTAAGTCACACAGATGCACAGTGGCAGAATTAAAATCCAAATACGAGCTCCCTGGCTTGAAAACCAGAGCAAAAGGTTTGTCTGCAAGAGATGGAGAGGGAATTGGAGATAGACATATGGATATGAGGTCAATTGGTGAAGTAGAGTCTGGTAGCTGGGGAAACTTGAAACCACTAATTGATTTGCTTGCTAACTACCCAACTACTACTGGAAATAGAGGGGAGGTTTGGTTTGATTTTGTTTTCAAGAGCATTATTTTTGTACCAAATACATTGAATGGAAGAAAGATGAGGCTTTATTCTCATGGAAGAAAGGTGAGGCTGTCTGCTCCCTAGAAGATGTAAAGCCTCGGAAACCATATACAAGGTTGCTATGAGTCAGAACCAACATGCATTGGATATGGAGTCCTAGTGGAGTTTCCGAGACTCCTAGTGGAGTTTCTGACCCTCCACCTTACCAAACATGATATCTTCTCCAGCTACTAGTCCCTCCTGACAATATGTCCGAAGTATGAGAGACGAAATTTGGCCATCTTGGCCTCATAGGAGCATTCTGGCTACACTTTTCTTCCAACACAGATCTGTTGGTTCTTTTGGCAGCCCATGGCACTTTCAATATTCTACTCCAACACCGTAACTCAAAAGCATCAGTTCTTCTATGGTCTTCCTTATTCACTGTCCAGCTTTTGCATGCAT